AGTTTTTACTTTTCAGTAACGTAGGTAATATTTTCGTTTAGCTCATCTTATGTTTGTATTAATTATTAATTTTTTGTTTTTGCAATGTCTGTTATAATTGTATAATATTTATTTTGGTGAAGTATGTTGTCCAGTCAAGTACGCATCAGTTGACCTGTTTGATAACAATAATAATATTACCTCACAGAGTATTTTAATGACTACGTTAACATTTAGGACAATGATTTTTTACGTGTCTACGTAGCTATACTATCTGTATTATATAGTTGCTCGCATTTCTATATAGCAAAGTACCTGTTTTTCTCTCGGTTTGGACACTGATGAAAAATAATCACACAATATTCCTTAGGTCATATCCATCGAGTGCATATATCCGATATGTGGACGCTATTATGACATATGAATAATATCAGCCATAATATTAATATATTACAATAATTTCCGGWTATAGTTTATTATATGTATAAACTTATAAGACGTATCGCTGATAAAAACCAGACATTTATAAAATCGAACGTTAGTACACACATACACACGTGGTAGTTAACGTTGAGGCTTTTATTTTGAATGGTTTTTTTTTTATTTGTTTACGTTTAATATTTCTATAGCCTATAGKATATGTAACATAATATTACATCGTAATATACCTGCATATTTTGTTATCATAACGATGACGTGTGGAATCTCGCCGAGAGTGATGTGTTGGCAGTTTTGTTGCGGTGTCCTACACAATACGAAATTGCGGACAACTATTTAAAATCATGACTTAAAAATTTTGAACTATGTTGATGATTAATGATTTTTGACGTTTGCATGTAGAAGCACATGCATTTAATTAGCGAAATATCGGGAACAGGAAATTAAAACATAATTCTACGTAACACTTAAATATTTAAAAGCGCTGTTATATACCTCCTAATATCACGCGGCGTGATTGGCATTTTACTGCCAGCCGTAAAATGTCTTTGATGATATTTTAGAAAAAGACGGAATACAATACAGATGTGGATGAGTGATCTGCAGTTGCAGGGGCCCCTTAGCTATATATAATCAAAAGGAAACGAAACTACATGTGTAAATAGTGTAATATCCACCTATGTTGGTTATTATATACATATAATTATTATTTATTTTATTAATTAAATATGTTAATTATTTTTCTGTGAACCACATAATACGTACAATGATAAAATAATGTAGAAAATATAACAGTTATAYAGGTGTATAAATTATGTATACGTGCAGTGCATACGTAAATACGTTGTATATAAACCATACGATTATGATTTAAAAAGTTGCAAATTATCGCCGAAAAATTCAATCCGTATGTTTTTGGCGGAATTGTAATTATATAGTCCACAGTGTGGTTTAGTTGAATTTTTTTGTTGGGCGATGAGAGCTATATGGCATCATCAAAAGAAATGTGGTGGCTCACACATCAATTTTGTACTATAATTATATTATGATCCTCGGATGATGTACATATTATAATTTACACTATTAGCACTTATACGTATAATTCCGTTTGGGGGCTATTGAAAATTCTGCAGGAGGTGTCGGAAACAGTGGCGGGTTTTTAAAAATTGTCTGGGGGGGGGTCCCAAAAAATAATATGTATTTCAAATGTATTATTTTTATTTTAATAAAAACAAATTTGTTATATTATATTGTATTTATGCAAATACGATTGTAAAATATTTTATTATACCTATTATTATTATTTCAGTAGATTCTTGATAACCAACCTAGGTACTTATATTTGAAATATAAGTATACGGTATATACCTACTGCAGGGTCAGATTCTGTGCATGAATTATTTAATTAAATATGTATATATCAGTGTCTGGGGGGTGGGGTACATGGGACCCTGAAATCCCCTCCCCCGTAAATCCACCACTGGTCGGAAACCCCCTCACTTTACCCAGACGACTGCCTTTAAATATTATATATGACTGCAGGTTGTTATTTTTTATGAATCAAAGGTGCGCCATATCATGATGATGGACATACAAAAGCAGGATCGACGCGTACCCGCAAATACCGATATTTCGGAAAATGTCGACTGAATTACGCTAAAGTTCACTGCACAGCTGCAGTGACGATAATTATAATATTGCATAATGATAATTTCCCTATARTGTTTATTTTTTGTCGCAAATCTATTATTTTTTTTTCTTTTAAAAATTGTCTTCGGCAAACATATTATAGGCATATGTAACGACATAAAAAATGGACGTCTCCGCGTAYTTCAAGACGGCKATCGTGAATAATAATTTAACAGCGATTGCCGATAATGACCCAGTGCCGACCAGAGTGGATCATGGTTTATGCCGCCGCTGGTGAAACCGGTCCGAACCGAGCTAAACACGCGGTCGAGTACATCGGTAACGACCACAAGTGCCGGCACTTACATGTACCGATCTAACTATAATACGTGTAAACGCGTAACACGAGAGAGAGAGAGAGATCCACGAGCGATCGCGTAGACGGCCGTCGCTTCTCCGCGGATCGTCCGTGACGGATCGGCGTGGGAACAAGCGGACCCGACGGTCGTCGCGCCGAAGACGTGCCGGTCACGCGCGCCCCTCCGGCCTACACCCGCGCCGAGAAGTTACGCCGAGGCCGCCGCTTAAGAGTAAAAAAATGACGCGGTACGTGCGCGGCACACGCACACACGCACGGATATCATATCATTATATTATATTATTTTTTTTCGGCTGCGACGGATTCAATAAACGAGCGCGCGCGCGCGCGCGCGCAATCTATCTATAGTCGGCGGCTCACGCGCGCGCGTGCTCTTCTCTCCGCTCGCGCGCGCACGTCTATTTATAACGTCTCGCGCCTATACCTATATGATATAATATTATCGTTATTATTATAATGTCGATTACACCAGTCCACTCTGTCGTCGTCTCCGTCGTACGCTTACGCTTTGTACTATTACATACTATTATTGTTGTCGTCGTCGTCGTCGTCGTCGTTGTTGTTGTAGGTATAATATATTGTCGGTGATGGTGAAGCGGATCGCGTTTTTTCTCATCACCATCAGTTCCCACGGTGTAAACGACCTTTACGGATTATATACGCGTAGTCCGCCGCCGCTGCTTTTTTTTCCATTTTAATTTTTCGACGTTTTTTCGTCTGTCTAAACCGTATCTCGACGGATTCACTGCGGCTACCGCTTCATCCGCTTTATAATGCGTTCATTCAAATTATTCTGATGTTTTTCTTTTTTTTTTCTTGTACCTATATTTGGTAAAATACCATCATTATTATTATTATTTTGTTAGGTATCATAAAACTGGGATTTTTACGGCCGTTTGAGGAGTGAACAGCGAGTGACGATTCAAACTCGAATTGCAAAATGAAAACTTCTTTTTTTTTTACTCATACTATTATGTCTACTTAACTATACTTAGCCATGCAGATTATATATATTTTTTTAATGTATCTTTTTATCAAAATTCCCTATCGACTATGGTTATTTTTTTTTTTTAAACGATAGTGTTAAATCACTACCTAATATCGATTATATTGATAGTCTATTTCAGGGATGGTGGCAAATCCAAAAAAAAAAAAGGTAATTTTTAGCACGTGCGTTCAAATTATTTGCCATCAACCCAAGGAGATGTGCAGGAATGTGGAAACTATAGAGGAATAAAACTTATGAGTCACACTATGAATAKTTGGGAAAAGGTAATAGATTTAAGGATTAGAGGTGTGACATCTGTTAGTAGACGGTGGAGCCGATATTTTATGTAAGACAAGTGATGGAAAATTATAGATAGAAAAAAATGAAGTTATGTTTGATTTTTATTGATCTAGAGAAAGCAAGATCAGCAGGTCTATACCTACAGCCTAGAAAAGTGCGCTTTTTCCGGATCCTTATTCGAATAGAGAGACTAGGTCGAAGTTACTAATGTTCAATATAATCGATTATGTTGTCCGTATACTYAACGGRTATGACTTCAGTAAACTATAAAGTTTTATATTATTTCCAATATTTTTACAATAATATTGTTTCTACTGAATGTTTTGTTTCATAACGCTTGGAGAGACCGAGAGCTACAACTTCACTCRGAGAGAGAGTTCAATTTGTTTTTAATACTCAAACTTACGATAATGCGGCGCAATGGATAGGCAACTATAKATGTTACAYTACATTAGTCTCCAGTTATTCATCCGATTTGGTTTTGACTTTTGAGAATAATTACAAATTACCTTTACACCAACAACTTATGATGTATATCTGTGGGTTTAAATTGTWAGGCTAATATTGTCTTATAAATAGAAATTTATTCCAATTAATAGTTTACTATGTAAAATGTAATTATTTTATCGCAAAATTGACGGTTATAATAGGCATTTTAATTATATTTTGAGAAGAGTTAAAACTTAAAATGTGTAATCATAAATATATTGAAATACTAATTCTTTATGGTTGATGTAACCTTTTTGTAACGATTTAAAAAGTTTAGTAGGTATCCACCAAAAAAAAAAATTTATTGAAATATTCTTAATAAATTACAAATATTAATTTGCCGAAAATCATAATGGCGATGAACTATAAAAAAAAAAAAACAATTTTATATAATACAAGGTTATTCAAAATGACTCATCCGATTTAAAGTGCTTACATTATTTTATTTTTTAGGTTTAGGGTTAACAATATGTTATACATTAAATAAAAGAAAAATATSTCAAGTTTAATTAACTGCATCTATAAATGTTCTATGTGAGCTCCTTTGGTTATACTGCGTACAAAACTCTCTCTAATTCGTTCCACGTTATCATCGGATGCACTAAGCCAGTCTGCTTTTTCTTTTGCACAAACACCCTGTTTCTTCAAACTGCTTTTACCATCGACGTATGCTCTKAGTAGTTGGTGCATCGATCCTGTAAAGACGACAAAAATCCCGTTTCACAGTCATTATCGATTCACACTTCGAAAAACGCAACACACAAAATGCTTTATTCTGTCCAGTCAACATATTTGCGGAAACTAACTTATCACCGTAAGCGATTATTTTAAAATAATGAATTAATGATATCATAAAAACTAGGAATACCCTCTTTTAATTGGTATATAGTTTGATAAGATATACAAGATATTATAGTAAGAGATACAATTTATTATTAACCATTTTATAGCCATTTTAAATCGGATGAATCATTTTGAATAACCCTGTGTATGTTAATTGAATTTTTGTAAATTAATAAATACATTATTTTAAATAGTACCAAGAGCCAAGAGGTCACTTTGAGGAGTCAAGAGTAATTTGTAATTTAAAAATTAACTTTTGATCTGAAACTTAAAAATTTAATGAACAATTTTCAAAAATACAAGCTCTTTTTCTAATGATGAAGTTTGGAGTTCAATTTTGAATAAATTGGATAATTTAACAAAACAATAGGTAATGATTTATACAATGATATTTATACAAAATATTTTGACTTATTTATACAAATCTATTAATGCCATTATATTCTATGTCAGTTATTATTAAAATTTAAAAAGTTAATAGCAATATCAAGTAAATATGTGATTAGATACCTATCATAAAAAATAAATTCACCGACAATACTATTAATAGAAAAATAAATTACCAACTGCATTGATTATACATACCATTACTATGAATATAGTGCATGATATAATCAATGTTAATAGTAGTAAAAATAATTATAAAATATCTAAAAAACTAAGGCTGACCATCTTTGCTCGGAAACATTATTATAATTCTTATTATAATTATTCATACGCAATGATTTATCATTAAAATTAAAATTMAATTCAACCGTTACAATGATATGCATAATGAGGAGGTACACATAATGCAGCATTTTTCAATTATTTTTTGAAATRATTACACATTAACTTTATTTGAAATAACACTTTATTTAATTTTCAACTGAAACATTTTTTTCTATTAAATTTTCATTTTTTTCTACATCGCCACATTCAATTTCTTCTTTTGATTTACCTTCTAGAGAACAATTGTCATACTCCAAAARATCTCCTTCGTCAATGACTGAGATCATTTTTCTTTTYGGCAATGTACTAATAAATGCTTCTTTCCAAGACATTCCAGTAACCACTTTTGAAATTATTTCATAAACTGAAAAGGATTAATTTTTATTAGACACTCTTCAAGCTTTATACTGTTAGATCATGAATGATAATTTTTTTTTAGTAGTTTCTGATGGAGAATTGTATCTATATTTTGCTATATCCTCCTTAAGTTCCCCACAAATTGTTAAAAAACTTTAAGACATGGAAAATAAATGTTGAGAATTTGTTGTAAATGTTTATGGTTCAAATTTTGTTAAAAGTTTGTCAAAATCAAGAAAATTTACAAATTATTGTAGTAGTATAAAAAAGTGTTAACTTATTAATTTTCAACCTACGGCACTTGTATATTCATCAAATTGTTTTAAAAGAATATTTAAAAACATAGAATATATGTTTTTATAAACACTCGGTGTTCAAATTTTGACAGAAGTAGAAATTTATTTATTTTTTAAAACAATGAATTGATAATCTTAATATATTTTTACTACTACGATCCTGATCAAACCATTCTAAGGTACATTTTYGAGTCAAACCTAACTATTTGCAAATAATAATAAATATAATAAATATATACCTACATATGATTAAAATATTATTATTATTATATGGTACAATTATGTAATGTTTTAGAAAAATTACTTCAACATGCTGTATATGAATAGAAAACTAAACACTAGTATTATAAAGATTTTGCTTAGAATTTTTTTTKTGTGTGTAATGATTTATTATTGAATTCAAATCGAATTACAATACAGTACTAGTTTTAGAGGTATACTTAAAATGTGCTAAATTTTTTAGTGCATATGTTATAGACAAAGTATCCAATYTGATCATTTTATACAATGACCCAGCATTATATAAAATGCCCTTTGTATATTGGGTAATAAAGATAATACTATCTAACTATAAAGTATAATCAAAACACCAGGGCTGGATTATAATCATATTTTTAGTTTATTCCTATTGACTTATCATTGCATGATTTTATTGGTTATCGTATAATGCCATAAAATATATGAAATGTTACCTATATCTGTTGATTCTCATAAAATCAACTATTTAGTAACTGCGAATCCTTGTATAATGTAGTTATAATTCAAATATGGAAAAGTGTAATGCAGATTTAAATGATTTGTTAAAAAAAAAGTTTAAAATACTTCATTTTATAAAAAGCTTCAACTAATTCCACATACATATACTTAAAAAAAGGACCGAATGACTATAAACATTTAAAAAAATATAAAGTGTTAAAAGTTGCTAATGAAAACAAGTTAATTGTACCCGTATCATCTGAAAATAATGAAATGAAATATTGTGTACATAATTAAGAGTAATATGACATATACACTATGTTCATTTATCAATTGGGCACAGAAGTTGAAACAGAATGGAACACGAGGTTAATACAAACTACAAAAATATCACTAGAGTTATGATGATGCTATAGGTACTTAAATAGTTGTGAATCATGTCAAAAAAAAAGGAAGTATAGCCAAGAAAGAGTTAATTCCTTGATGGTACAGTACAACCAATTATATCTTCTGAGATAAATTCTCACTGTCAGATTGACTTAATAGATAGGCAAGCACAAACTGATGGTGAATATGAATTAGTAATATATATGATGATAATAAAGTCAAAATATTATGAATAAAATACTTTATACGTTACAKTTGAATATTATTATTTATATTGACCAATATATGAAGGGCATTGTATAAAATGACCAAATTGTATACTTTGCCCATAACATATTATATACCAGTGGTTGTAATATAGTATGTCCTATACATAAATACTGTATAACTATACAGTGATAGGCTTTAAAAAAATATTTGAAATTTTATAATATTATGAAATTACCATGATTTATTGTTAAAATTTTTCTTGTTTGCATGTTAATATGTTCATTGATTGGMAATCGAGCATGAGCTATTCCTAGATCGTTTGCTACTTTCAGACTTGCACCCTAGAAAAAATTGATATTTCTATATCTGTACAAAGATCGTAGAATTTTAGGCAACTATACTTTGCAAGAATTGTGATCAACCAGACCACCAATTATGTACACTTTGTTTTCATCTATACTTTCTAAGACATTCAAACTGTCACTGGTCAAATAAACCATTTCTTCTTTCTTGAATTCTTTATCAAATGAATTCTCTAGATATTTTATCTGAAAATCAAAAAATAAACTTAATTTAAATTTAAAAAAATAGTTAAGTTCAATATTTTAATCATTATTATATACCTACAATATATTATACTAATTAAAATCTATTGACATGAAATGATAACTTTTTCATCATCGTACTTTATCAAAATTATTTAGTATTTTAATAGTTTAATGTTATATCTAYACAATTTCAACTTATATTTACTCAATTTGATARCATATTTCAATAAAAATAATTTAATACAAACACAGTTTGTACGATATGGCTATGAGCTGGGCTCATATTTCAATAATAATAATGATGATGGTCACCAATGATCTTTATAAAATATTTTGTGTAAAACAGATAAATTATTAAATATTTACTACAAATATTATTATTTATATAGGATTCTAATAAAATTATATAAATATATTTGATTTTTATGATATAAAACTATTAAGTTGTAACATGCAAATTTTAAATTTTAAAAAATATTAAAATATTGTAATGTTAGGTATATCAATAGAATAAATTATTAGACAAATAGTGTGAACTATCACAAACCCTGTACCACAAGTAAAGGGAGTTGCAATTTTTTATTAAACCTATAGGTATCTGTATCTTTATTTATTTTATTCATAATCACTATATGTGTGTATTATGTAAGATACTACCTAGTACCTATTCACTGTRTTATTATGAGTATATTTGAAAATATATAATACTATTAAATAAGAACAGATTTTTGTTCTTTAAAAATTTAATGAAATAATGTATTAACAATATTAACATACATCCCAAGACTCAGAGCCATTGTGTTTAGCCATAATTTCTTTGATTTTTCCTTCATAACTGCAAAAATATAATTGCATAGGATTATTCATTCTACGATTCAGACCATAGCACCTCAATATTTGATTTGAACACTTGCATAAATCCTTATAACATATAATAATTAATCATTATTGTATAAACTTATTATTAGTAGGGCTAGGATCTATATACAAAATAAAAATGAAATCTAACCTTATCAGACATCAAGTCATCATATGACATATCTAACACAATGCGTTGTTTACATGTACTCTCGGCCATTTTGTTAGTCCTTACTTTTGGTATTTCTACTCCRGATTCTCTCATTTGGGCTTTCCATTTTTTCCTTTCAAMTTTTTTTTCTTTATTTGTTTCCCTGAGAATAAATATGTTTGGATTAAGTTCAAAACATTAGGTCTGCAGAAATTTAGAATTAAATTTTACCTTCGTTTCGCTTTTTTCTCTAACCACATCTGTTGCTTTTGAATTTTTTTTAGCTGCCTTTTTGACAAGGTGTTAGACTGGTCATCATTACTTTCATCGTTCAATTTGCATATTTTAGGTTTGCTTTCACAGACATCTTCCGACTCATCCAATGGCCGTTTTACTATTTCTTCCACAGCAACAGTGTTAGTATCATTATTCAATTTTATATTATTTACAGTTTCTAATGACTCGTTCATCGTTTTGTTTGGTAATTACAAAATTGAATAAAATCATGAACGTTGAAGTTTTGTAGTTAACACATTACTGTGTAATACAAAAGTCATGAGAATATATATTTATTCATGAATCATGACACTACAGTACTTGTTCTAATGCTGTCGTTATGTAGTATGTACCTGAAGTTGTAGTGTAGTCCTATATATTAAAATATGGTACTATATCACCAAATGACCAAATACTAWATCAAGAACAATATCCGACATATCCGTCGTATACACGTAAAGAGTATTTGGCATTTGCTAACGTTTGATAGTGAATAGTTCCGTACTATGTCCAATAATAATTAATAATAAAAACATTAAAAAGTAAAAAAATGTGTACAACACGTTGCGTGTTATCAGTTATCACTTATCAACGTTACTTTTTGTAAGTTATCAGATATTATAATTACCTTGGTTCTTACACAGAATAGATTAAATTACTAMAATACTTTACAGTGTACTCAGTGTAGATTAATTATTATTTATTATTAAAATCGTATTCTTGTCTATGATCGTTTTTTATAATAAATTTTGAGTATTTCGACTAATGTTTAAAAAAAAACAGGGTCGTGGAACACTACTACACTAGTACATCCTACGACCTACATTGATCTCGCGAGCGTCGAGCATAATATAATAATTATGTATAGATATAAATTGACCTTACGTCTTGTATTTATATGACGTCCACGGTCGCCACTCGCCGGTCAATGTCGAACCAAAATAATAAAATATTAGTGTTTACCAATTTCTCCGCCTTTCCATGTATTCTACGTCGCCCGGAATCCCTCCTTCTAATACTCGAAGGTTGGCTGAAAGTTGAACATCAATAATACGATTATACCTAAACCTATATTATAATCGAAAATTAGTATTTACGTATTTTTTTTTTCTTGCTCGAGTGATCCTTACATTCTCACAACACTGTTCAAAACTTCAAACACTTCGTCAACGATGAAACTGTTTTTAACTGGTGCGTCGGGCCTATTGGGAAGGTCTATATACGAACGCTTTTTGAACGAACCGGATTGGACTGTATGTGGAATCTCGTTCAAAAGGCATGTATAATTATAGTTGTGTTTGCCACGCATATGATATGACGATGGAATAGATGATTAGAATTTGATGAATTTCCAGGACGAATCCAGGATTGACAAAATTGGACTTGCTCAATAAAGACGCAGTTACTAATCTTCTTAATACAGTTTGCCCTGACATTATTGTTCACTGTGCTGCTGAACGGTTTCCAGATAAAGTAGAAAGTGATCCTCAGGCTGCTTATGATCTAAATGTTGGAGTATCAGCTCATTTAGCTGACATAGCAAGTAAATGTTCTACATTACATCAAGATATATCTAATAATTTTAACATAGATTAAATACAATTAAACAGATCATTAACTCCCCAACATTAATACTAAAGATGGATTATACAATATGACAAATTTCATTTACCTATAAATAATAATTGTAGTAGATTATATTATACCTATTTCATTTGATCAATAATTTATTTTTTCTCTTAGATCACCTCAATGTGCCATTGTTGTATATCAGCACAGATTATGTGTTTAATGGAGATGAAAGTCCTTATAAAGAAACTGATGAACCTTCGCCCATAAATGAATATGGAAGATTGAAATTGCTTGGTGAAAAGGCAGTACTTGCTGCTAATCGAAGTATGACTTATTCATAGTATTAGCCATGGATAATTAAATAATTTACATTTTTAAATACAATYATATAAAAATAAAATAAATGGCATAATAGATAAATTTAAATAATATTATTTAGATAATATATAATTAAAGAAAAAAATAATGATTCAAATACCTAGATAATTTATAAAATAATAAATACATATGTTACGGGTAAAGTATACAATTTGGGCATTTTATAAAATACCTGGGCATAAGCGTACGCAGGTATTCTTGGCAGGGGAGGCAATACCTTAGCTAAAGAAGTCCAGACTCCAATCCCTCCCGATTTTCCCCAATTGGTAGGTATAATATTATATTTTGATGAAGAGGAAAATCTCGCAAGGGATGCAGCCGCCTCCCTTGCCTCCCTCGTGCGCACGCTTATGTACCTGGGCATTTTATACAATGCCCTTCGTGTATTGGGCAATATAGATAAATTTTGTATTTAACTCGTGTTCCATCCTGTTTCGTCCACCATATGTCCAATCGATAAATGAACATTATGTATGACATCGAATAACTCTTCATTATGTATATAATATTTAATTCATTATTTCCAGATACTGGTACAATTAACTTGTTAATATCAGCAACTTTTTAAACGTCATATTTTTTTTAAAGTTTATAATCATTCGGTTCCTTTTTCTTTAAATTTTTCTTTAATTGATTTATATGTAAAATTAATTGATCATATTTTAACTTGGTAAAATATGAAGTATTTTAACCTTTTTTTTTAACAAATTGTTTAAATCTTTATTAAATTTTTCCATACTCAAATAAGTAGTTAGGTACGCACTGAATCAATTAACCTGCACTATACAAACGATTCGCTGCTACTAAATAGTTCATTTTTGAGAATAGGTAAAGGGCCGAATGTGGCACTGCACGATAAGCACTACAACTACATATAATAAAACTTATAAATCATTAAATATAGTTATAATATATTATGTCACATACACGCGTATGATATGTGGACAAGCAGACATCCTTACTGTAAAAATAYGATAAGAACAAACAAACTAGTTACGGAAAATAATTTGACTTTATTTTAACTATGTTTTACAATTTATCATATCTCATTAAATCATCTCATACAAAGGGCATTGTATAAAATGTCCAAATTGTATACTTTGTCTGTAACATATATATATATTATAGTACATATAATTAAACRAAATTAATAACTATGCATTAAAATCGCTGTGTATCCATTTATATTTTCCATTATTGGTTTAATATTATTGAAGTATATTATTTTATAATTATAATCCATAATAAATAATAGTAATAATATTTAGGTAATATAAATATAATATATCAATATCAGTATATCATTAAAAATTAAATAACCTTAAATAATTTATTATTATTTTGTCAAACTTAACATAATAATTTTTTATATGTATTGTCTTTCAGACAATTTCTATGAGATGTAAGAATTTGACTGGCTACATTAAACAATCTCTCAAATGGGGCTGAGAAAGGTAGCCTAATATTATGTTTTAGTAATATTTGTTTCACTGTGTGGTCTTGATTTAATAATTTAGAGTTTTAGAATCCTTTAGAATCACTTACATATTTTTTTTTTTTATTTATTAATGATACCCTCGGCAACATGGGCCATTGGGTTGAACGTGAGAAATATAAATAAAGGGGAAAAAAAATTCACTTACATATTATCTGTTATGTTAATATCAATATCTGATAATTGAGATGAAGCATGATGCTTTCAAAAAAGATATAACTGTCTTCATTATTATAATTGAAGCTATAAAGTTACATTCTGTAATAGGCAATACAGTAAAGCTCTATCTTTATTTGCATAATATAATTTGTAGATATTTAGTTATACATATAATATAATTTTTATTATTATCATTTATCATTAAGAGGACACCACACTGGCATTTGTTTTATCCGTCTTACAAACGTACAACATGGTAAATTGTACATTCACAATAATATGTTTTACTCTTTCTAAAATTAGAGTGAACCTACCTCTTATAAAATTTAAAGGCAAGAAAATTATCAAGAGCATCTCGAAGTATTTTATTGATATTATTATTTTTAAAAGTTATAATCATTTTTAAACTGTTTTTTTTTTTTTACATTTTAAAACTTATAACTTACTTAAAAATATTAATATCAATAAAATACTCAGAGAGGCCTTAGATAACATCCTTACCTTAACATTTTATAAGAAGTTAGTTTACTTTAATTTTAGAAATTACTGAGTAAAAGTGAACGTATAGTTTACTATGTTGTACATTAGTAAGAAGGAGAAAACAAATTGCCCATGYTGTGCCCTCTTAATCATTAATATTATAACTTAATACAGTAGACGCTACTTATATAAGACTCACTTTGAGACCAGTACAAAGTGATTCTTAAAACCGAATGAATCTTATAGGCAAAGTGGGAAAATTATGTATATATGAATTTTATTTTACTACCTACATAATATTTTGCTTTAATTTTAATACCTTAACTCATATTACATATCACATAATTACTATTGAATAAATTTAAAAATTCTGATAAAAAAATTAAAATGATTACATACATTACTAATTTATTTCTATATTTTAACCAAAAATGTTTATTTTTTTTTTACAAAATTTGAGTCTTATAACCAAATTTTTATTATGTATTTAGATACTTCTGGTATGTTTCAGACGATTTTGAGTATGATTAGCGACTGAACCTTATATCCGTGAGTTTTATAAGCACCATCTACTGTATTTCATAAAGTACCACCATTAGTAGGTCTCTTTACTCTGTTAATTTCATGTTATTATTTTTATTGTTTTATTAATTTAGCTTACTCGTATTTTTTAGCTCTGTAATAGATTGTCAAATAATAAAATTTGTTTAAAAAAAAGATATAATAAATTAATCTTTTAAAAATCATCTAGGATCTAGATAATACCAATCACTGCTTATGTAGTGTGTTAATATTTTTATTTGAAAATTAATTTAATAATAAAAAATCTAATAATTTACAGATAATATCATTCTCCGTATTCCTGTACTATATGGACCAGTTGAAAGTTTAGAAGAAAGTGCAATTACTTATTTGTTAATTGGATTAAAAAAGTGTCAAAACAATAATGAATTATTTAAAGTCTCTAATTATGAACTTCGTAATCCAGCAAGTGTTCATGATATAGCGCACATTGTATTTCATTTAGTGGCAAAAAAAATTGGATCTGTAAGTTAAAGTCTCACTATCAAAATGTGTTTACATATTTAAAATATTAATTTTTTCAGACTAATAATATCAGTGGTATTTATCACTGGTGTGGAAAAGAAACATATACAAAGTATGATATGGTGGCCAAGATGGCTAAGATTTTTGACATGAGTATGAACCAAGTAGTTCCAGTAAATGGACAAGGTGGAGTAAAACGACCATTTAATACTTTATTAGATGTTTCACGCATAAATCAATTAGGAATTGGAACACATACTAACTTTGAAGATGGAATAAAATCTGTATTAGCCAATTGGGTTGTTAAGTAGTCGTTTTTTCAATAAAACAAATGTCATACAATTTGTTCATATTATAATAAAATACACTTAATATAAACTGTTTAATTTGTCATTGTCAATTTTATACATTTTTTTTTCTTATTGTTAGTTATAGTCTATAGATTATAAATAAAGAATATAATTTTAAAGTTATTTTAGACAAATCCCAACATAAGTAGTCGAACAAAATATTATGTACTATTAAGGGGAAAAGTACTTATCAATATAGTACATTGATTAAACATTAAAAAACATTTCAATCAATAACTTCTAGTGAAAATTTTGATACCAAATTGAATCKGGTTAATACTTTTGAAAATCATCTTGAAATTCTCGGTACTTTTTTTAAAATAATGAGAAAAAAATTAAATACTTGTTGAAATTTTAATATCATAAAATTAATTATTTGGTAATTTAAGTAATTTAAGACTGTACTTACTCAATATTAGTTTTCATCATGTATAATCAGTGGCGTAGCTAGGATTATGAAAGAGAAGAAGGGTTTAAGTTAAAGATTAACTAAGTCTTTTACAGTTATTGTGTATAAATAATATAATTTCCTAATACATTWATTTGAAGAAATAGTACAGAAGAAATTTACACCCAAAACCCTCTCTGGTTAAGCTGATGTATGCAATGATTATTATCATTGAATTCAAATTTATTACATCCATCATAAAAGGGATCAGCAAGCCAATAGATTACAAGGTTTCCAGTCCAAATTTTCATATTATCTTAATTCATGGTTTTAATACAAATTATAACTTTTACTCGCTGGTCACCAGGTTACATAAAATTGCAATGYGGGCCACAGGTTTCTGTCCCTTGCGTTACAGTGACCTAATCAATTATATGGTACACTCAATACTTATTTTATGGGAGRGTAGCTACCTACTTGCTCGMTTTTTWATTTACCCATWAAATATTATGTAAAATAAAAACCATTTTAAGAGAATTTTCATTTTTGTCCAAGGGTTTTATAGAGAATTTTTGGGGTTTAAGTCACCCGTCTAGCCGTCCATAACCGTCAACCGATCATCATATTTGTGCTACTTCTTAGTTGTTATACATTTTGTATTTGTATACGATCTATGATCCACAATATTGTAAAATAATTAATTGAATTGTTGAATTTAAGATTCTGAGCAGAGCGATGAATGTATTGATTTTACCATGATGTGTGTTTTTATTTTATTTTTTTTTTGTGTCATCACATTTTGGGGCAGTAAAAGAGCTTTGATTTTTGACTTCAGTACCTCGTTCAATCAGAAAGTGAATCTAATTGGTACTTTGGTCTTTGGGGGATCAAAAGTAAAAAATTCTTAATATTTTTCTAAATAATCGGAATAAACAAGCTAAAAATTATGGGAAAACGGGAAATTTTACGCACAATCAGTCATAGACAAAATCGATTTTGGTTTTAGATGTAACTTTAAAATAAATGACCATAGATACATGAAATTTCCACCGAATGTTTATATATTATTCTATTCTGTGATATAAGTATATTCTATCCACCATGCAATTTTCAAAAATTTTCGACTTAAGTTGAACTATTCATAGGCATTTGAAATTTTCGATCATTATTAGTTTTTTTAAAATTTATATCGATCAAAATTTATTTGTTGGGAAGACAAGCTTGAAAATTCTTAAACACAGTCTAGCACGGTTAGGTTAGGAAGATAATAGAATGTGCAGTCTAGACTATCATCTAACATTCTAACGACTAACACTAAATTAGTAAATTGAGATTGACCATGACGAAATAGATTTTTATTTCGTCATAAAAATTGAAATTGACTATATCACGGTTTAAGATAGACCGTGGTAATATTATTAAACATGTTTATGGTATTACCAACTGATTGCTTCGGCTTATGTATTTTTTCATTTAATGATATAAATAGAATTTGAACTCGATAAAATATTATTGTAAAAGTGGATCGACAATTGACAGTTTATCCAAAACAATGAAAAAATACACATTTTGTAAATTCTAAAATGATGAATATATTTAAAAATGCTGTTCAGAAAATAGTAAATAATCTATCAGTGATTGTAAATTTTAAATTGTTGTCTTATTAATATACTTGAAATTTGTGTGGTCAAAAAAAATTTCAAAAATGTCATGGTTACATTTATTTTAAATTTGATTGTAATAATATAGGTAGAGCGTCTTTTCCAATAATTTATAGGTTAGTTCGTTCTTTGAAATTAATATTCGGTCATAACCCTAAATCATCTATTTTCGAACRTATTTCTTTGTTCCCGGCTAGCGATCGATGTGTTGGAAGATTTTAATGTGACTTTTACTCAAGTTAGTTCATTTGTTGTAAATTTACTTTTGCGATTTTATTATACTTACCAAGTTGATTAGCGGCTTCGTTAATCGTTATTCACAAATCGCAATTGTTTTCTCAGATATTTGATCAGTTCGAAGTGTGTTGTGATTGTYCGAATAGGTACTCCAAGGTATTCCTTATATGTTTGTATTCCTATTTCGATCGTTGCACCCTGTCGTGGTTGTTCCTTTCAAGTAAGTATTTGTTTATTACTCAACTCTGGGTTTTTTTATTTAATATCCTAATAATATTAATATTTATGCTAAGCTAGCTATTATTTGCTAGGTATCTAACTGCTTAATATTATACAACGTGTCCGTGAAAGAAGTGACCGGCTTCATAATGGTTCAAAATTTAAAAAAAGATTTGACCAAACCTCAATATGGTAGTAAAATTTCTCAAAACAATATTTACAATTATTAATTCTTTAATCATGAGGATGTAACAAATCTTTTTTTTTAATTAACCATAAACTACAGAAAAGAGGATCGAAAGATATTTCATAGGCGATAACTTTACCATTTCAATTTTGTATTATTACAACTTAATTATTCCTTATTCAACAATGGGCTAAACAGCTAATTTAAACTTTTACTAACTCTTATACACCTTAGTTATTTGATAAACATATATATATATATTGGCTTGAAGGTAAGTGAAAGAACTGTTTAAAACCGTAAGTTATTAAACATATTCCGTATCATATTCCTAACTAAAGCTGTAACAAGTATTTATTTATTATCCCTACAATAAATAATCGTACAGATATATTTGTACAATAATAATGTGATATAATCTAATAATCTTTTACTTATAGATGTAAAAATAACTGATGATAATTGTATATTTATAGTATTTCTTAGCCCACAAAAACTAAATATTACACTAAAATAACGAACATTTTATGGGTAAAAAATTCTTTTTTTTTCTTTTTCAAACATCAATTTGTTGAGAAAAAAATGACTATTAATTACATTATGCATTTTTAAATACCTTGAGAGACATAGAATGCATTTTCATATAATAGTTTTTAATTTTTTGAACTACTGTGAACCGACATTATTTGATAGTTTACTTAAAGTTGAATTATCTAACTTWATATTTTTAGTTATGGGTAATTCAACTTTTTTAAATCAAAATCAAACTTACCGCACTTTTGCTGATGTACYAACCTATGTTCAAAACTTTTTATAATAATATTTTTTTAAAGCTATTTCATTGTACKATTAAAGTGAACTAACATACACAATCGAAATATAAATTTACAAATTATTTTTGTTAAATTGAAAAAATATAAAAATTAGTATTTATATTACCTAATTTGTATATTACACCTAATAACAGCCCATTACACCATTTACCTACCTATACTACAATTTTCATTTTCATTATATTATTCTACAGAATAACATCTAGAATAGGTACCTCAAATATTTTATTTTCATAATTTTTTTCCACTATGACTATATGTCTCATCTAAACTTCTTGTTCATTGKCAATAATGAATAATAATGGACATAATACAGAATATTATACAATAATTATTACAATCACGTGTTGTGTCACGATTAGTAGGTAATGGTCATAGACGAATCTAGAAATTCATARCAGGGTGTGCCTCAAAAAGGCCCTCTGTAGTTCTAAATACCTCTCAGTTATCACACGTTTAAAATATGTTTCCCATTTAAAATAACATTAATAATATTAAATAATATTATTAAGGTTCATTTTTATTACCAGTTTAGATGCTATTTTTCATGCTGTATTTTATATACACATGTAATGTTTCAAAATTATTCAATTTAATAAACTACAACTATTGCAAAGTTCAATATATGTTACT